CTGGGCATGTTTATGTGAGGAGTCCAGCATCCTCTTTGCCAATGGCGGCAACCCCGACTTGCGCCCAGGCTGCGATGTAACACCTAAACCCTAAACCCTAAACCCTAAACCCTAAACCCTAAACCCTAAACCCTAAACCCTAAACCCTAAACCCTAAACCCTAAACCCTAAACCCCAAACCCTAAACCCTAAACCCTAAACCCTCAACCCTCAACCCACAACCGTAGCATTGGACAATAAGTGGAGGTTCGCGTCCTAGGGTTTGTGGCGTGTGTCACCGTGCCTAACCCCAAACCCGAAAGCCCTAAAGCCAAAAGAACCTCTAAACCCCGGACCCGAAACCCTAAACCCTAAGCTAAACCCAGCGAAAGAAACCCGAAACCGTACACCGCAAGCCCTCAACCCAGGTACGGCTTTGTGCTCAAGAAGTTCGCGCCCGAGCTTGGTGACTTCATCGCGAAGCGAGTGAGAGAGGGCAGCCTGCTACTTGGAGGTTTAGGGTTTAGGGTTTAGGGTTTAGGGAATTTTGATGAGCATATCAACGTATCAGTTCAGGGTTCAGGGCCTTAAGCCCAAAACCACTAAACCCTCACACATACCCCGTTTCAAGTAGTACCCATACGGACTTCCAGGAAGTCAGCTGAGTTTTGGAGTACTATACTTTAGTACTTTTTTTGGTCCTGGGCTCCCAATAGAGCCACTTATGCCCCAAAAACATATACTTTTTTTTCCAGGCTCTACTCCAAAGTAGGGTCAAGCTTCCCCCCTCCCTCCCTTCGCGCGAACCCTGAACCCTAAACACAAAACCCTAAACCCTAAACCCTAAACCCTAAGCCCTAAGCCCTAAGCCCTAAACCCTAAACCCTAAACCTAAACCCTAAACCCTAAACCCTAAAACCCTAAACCCTAAACTCTAAAACCCTAGAACCCTAAAACCCTAAACCTCCAAGCCGAGGTTCTACATGGGCCGCTCGGCCGGCGCGATGGCCGGCAGCCGGGACTTCGCCTTGACCTACGAGCCCAACCCGCAGCTTACCACAGCTCCCTTGACGGGGTTTTTAGAGCCCTAAACCCTAAACCCTAAACCCTAAACCCTAAACCCTAAACCCTAAACCCTTTCTTACTATGTATATTTAAACCCTAATGACCTTCGTCGGCATATTGTTATTTTTTTTTGCTGGGCCCTAAACCCTGACCCCCTTCGTCGGCATATTGTTTTTTTCCTGGGCCGGATCCATTTTCAAGGTTTTTCAAGGTTTTTCAAGGTTTTTCAAGGTTTTTCAGAGTTTTTCAGTGTTTTTCAAGGTTTTTCAATGTTTTTCAGGATGTTTCAGGGTTTTTTAACGTTTGGGGCATAGGGTTTAGGGCTGGGGTTTAGGGCTGTAGGGTTTGGGGCATAGGGTTTAGGGCTGTAGGGTTTGGGGCATAGGGCTGTAGGGTTTGGGGTATAGGGTTTAGGGCTGTAGGGTTTGGGGCATAGGGTTTAGGGTTGTAGGGTTTGGGGCATAGGGTTTAGGGCTGTAGGGGTGTTTTTCACAATTTTTCAATGTTTTTCCAGGGTGTTTCAAGATTTTTTCCCTAAGTTCTGATGAAGGGCCGCCCCCGCGACCTTTTCACAGCCTAGTTTTGGTCAAGGGAGGGTCGTATTTTTCAATTTTAAAGGCAAAATAGTCTTCGGAGACCCCCCCTTGCCTCAAACTCCGACCCCCCTTCAGAGGGAAAGTTTGCTTCCAAAAACACCCCAAATGAGGGGGGACCCCAGGATCGGCCCGGGTCCCAGTTAAAAATGCGATTTTTTAGTACTGAAATCGACGGTTCTGGGCGGCATCAATTTCTGGATTTTTGATCAAAACCGAGCCTTCACCGGTTTCAGGATTTCAAGTTTTTCAAGGTTCTTCAAGGTTTTTCAGAATTTTTCAGTGTTTTTTAAGGTTTTTCAATGTTTTCAGGATGTTTCAGGGCTTGCAACCCTCAATTCTGATGAAGGGCCGCCCCCGCGACCTTTTCACAGCCTAGTTTTGGTCAAGGGGGGGTCGTATTTTTCAATTTTAAAGGCAAAATAGTCTTCGGAGACCCCCCCTTGCCTCAAACTCCGACCCCCTTGAGAGGGAAAGTTTGCCTCCAAAAACACCCCAAATGAGGGGGACCCCAGGATCGGCCCGGGTCCCAGTTAAAAATGCGATTTTTTAGTACTGAAATCGACGGTTCTGGGCGGCATCAATTTCTGGATTTTTGACCAAAACCGAGCCTTCACCAATAGGGGCTTCTAAACCGTAGGGTCCGAAAAAAGCTCAGAGATGGTCCAGAAGGAGCTGAATCCGAAACAACTGGACCTTGAGCTTTAAGCCTACTGGGAATGTATTGAGTGAACTTTGTATTTTCTCAATGTTATGGGTTTCTTGGGTGGGTGGGGTTTTATTCCAACCCTTGACAAGCTGCTTGACTAGTGAATGCTCGGACTTGAGATGCTGAACCCTAAACCCTAAACCCTAAACCCTGAACCCTGAACCCTAAGCCCTGTGGGGTTTAGCTTGGTAGTATGGTCCCTTGACCCTTAAAGGCTTTCAGGGCTTCAGGGGTTGCGGGTTTTAGGGGGCCGTAGAGGTTTTCGGGGGTTATGGGTTGGGGCTTAGGAGGGTCTGGGCTGAGGGTTTAGGGCCTCTAAGGGTGGCAGTGTGCGGTGTAGGGGGTTTTGGTGTAAGGCTTAAGGGCTTCTAGTGCTGTAGGGCTTAAGGGTGCATAAGCCCTTGGCTTTAAGCCCTCAACCCTCAACCCTCAACCCTCAACCCTCAACCCTCAACCCTCAACCCTCAACCCTCAACCCTCAACCTTCAACCCTAAACCCTAAACCCTAAACCCTGAACCCTAAACCCTAAACCCTGTTTGTCAGGTTCTCTTGGGCCGGGAGACGGCAGGGCTCGCGTTGGCTGGGGAGTGTGCGCTGCGCCCACACATCCATGACCACCTGTGGGACATCCCCAGTCGGGTGGGGACGCCGAAACACTTAGGGTTTAGGGTTTAGGGTTTAGGGTTTAGGGTTTAGGGTTTAGAGTTTAGGGTGTAAGGTTTTGGGTTTAGGGTTTAAGGGCTGTAGTACTTTAGGGTTTCGTAGGGGTTGGTGGCATGGTTTAGGCTCGAGACTTTGGCTTACCCAAACCCTAAACCCTAAACCCCAAACCCTAAACGCTAAACCCTAAACCCTAAACCCTTCAGCCAGCCGTAGGCCTTGAACTATCTGCGGCCCCGGGAGGAGCACTAATCTAGCGGTTTGCATCTTTTTGTTCTAGTATTTTCAACACACAGAGTTATATAAAACTCATTAGCTTCTTAAAGTTATGTATGCGAGTTGAACTATTTTCTGACCTATCATCACTGTACTCGAATAACAAGTATTTTGATTTCTTTTCTTTACTTCTATTTCTTGATTGCAAGCTTGCAGCAGGTGCAGAACGCGGGTGATGTGCTCAGTTCTGCATGAGGCCAATTGGCCATACGTGCCTTTGGCGGAGCCCCAGAGACCGGTCAAACCGGCGCTGGGCGCTTGTCTCACCGTAGTCGTGGTAGTGTTGGTAGTATTGGTAGTTTAGTGGCGGTAGTAGTGGAAGTAGTGGTAGTCGTGCTATTCGTGGTAGTAGTAATTAGTACTACGACTAATAACAATCCTCTCACAAATCTCCCCATTTGAAGGGCCAGGAGTGCCTTTTTTTCAATCTCGAACAGGACAGTGTTCCGTTCGTTGCTGCATTTTCATTTGCATGTGCACGTAAGAACTAAAAATATTCTATACTAGGTTTCCAGACCTATGGTGTTGAGCTGTTATTCTTTGTTCTTGGGAGAAGAGGGTGAGTTCGTGTATGTAGCAGTTTGCTTGCGATGGTTTTTCGTTGTTTTTCTGTCTGGAAACCTTTTGGGGGGGGTGCCCCTTAAACATCTGACCCCTCGGTCTTGTTGCAAACTAGTTTACGTCGTTGCTTAGAGGCGAAGACTAAATTAAATCTGTAGCTGGCGTTTGTTGTGTTGTTCTCTCCGGAGTCGGGTCGATGTTTTAAGGGGGTAGCCTGGGGGTGACGTAACGCAGCGCGAGCTTCGGCTCCAGATGTGCTTTCTACATCCCCCTCGCGGCGCCCGTCGGTTATGGGAAATGTGTGCTGGCTGCTAGTCTTAGTGTAGAACACAGAAAGAATAGTCTATGCCACACCTGTTTTTCTTTGTTTCCCATTGCCCAGATGATTCACAGGTGACCCGCCCCCGGGATTTTGCCTCGCTAAAGAACTGATAGAAAATTACGGGAGGATCTAAATAAAAATAAATTTCTTGTGATGAGTCCTAAGGCGGGGGTTGGGGGGGGGTTACGTGGAAGTGCTTCTTCTCGGAGGCGAGGCAGAGACTTTTGGGCACGATGCGGATCCTTCTTTGGCTCGTCGCCGACAGGCGACTCTTGTGTGTGCCCTGTTTTCCTTACTGCCATGCCGCGCCGACATGCGCGCAGCCGAAGCCGAGGCTTGCTCCGTGTGATCGTGTTGGCTGCTCGCCTAACCACTCGCTGCGTCGGCGCTTGTAGGTCTTGGTGTTTGGTAGATTTAGAGAGAGTTTGTTTATGTGCGGGTCATTTCTTTTTGTGGAGGCAAAGTCCTGGGTTTGCGGGTGGTGGTTCCACATAACAGCCCACCTTAATTGGCCTGTTGCAGAATTCGCCCGGTTCTCCTGTTAAAAAGAAAGAATGTGTTGTTTTTTGTGCTTGCTCAAAAGTGTTTTACATTCGTATTCTCATAGGGTACTGAAGCAGGTGGGCTGCAGCATTACTGCACGTACGGGGGTTATGGGGTCCAGCTGGGTACATACATATAAATCACTAAAGGTTGTTAAAGGGACATCAGGTGCAGATAAATATCTATAAAAGTCCGTAAAGGAAGATAAAGGGCCGGTAAATGTCTGTAAAGGAAGATAAGCGTCGCTAACAGTCGTTAAAGTCGTTGAAGGATTGAAGGAAGGAAGGCAATATGATGGTGGTGCCGGAGCTTCAAAAAGTGGCCTGGTGCCAGAATGTCACATAATGTGCAGTTTTTTTGTTTTTTTGGGGAGGGGGCTGCCTGAGTTGACAAGGGAAACTCTTGACTCAGGCCTTGCCGCCGTAAACACTAAACCGCTACCCCCACATGCAGCCAGAGGATCGCCAAACTTTTGGGTGAACACAGCTTTTGAAGACCTACAGGTACTACCCAAGCAATCCAGCGCCTGAGCTAGGGTTGGGGGTTTTTCGGGAGTTAAGGCTTAGCAGCACTGTCTTTTTTGCTTGACACACAAGCCATGGACAGAACCAGCTAGTATTTTCAGCACACAGAGTTATACAAAATCAATTAAATTCTTGAAGTTATGTTTGCGAATTGAATTAATCGATGACCTATCATCACTGTACTCGAATAACAAGTGTTTTGTTTATTTTCTTTACTTCTATTTCTTGATTGCAAGCTCTTCTTCAAGAAGGGATGCTGTAAATTGTGGGCCCCTTAATACCTGCACATACCTGCGCTCTACGTCTGAGACTCCTCCCTGTGGCCCAGTTCTGTAGACCAGCCCGTTTTTTGGGTTCGGAGGGCTCGGGTAAGCCCTAAACCCTACCTTGTGAGCAGCTGAGGGCGGGTGGGGTGGGTTGAGGGTTTCGGGTTGATAGGGTTTCGGGGCCTTTGTGGTGTAGGGTTCAGGGGTTCAGGGTTCGGGTTCTGGAGCTTGCCAGGTCTATGAGAAAGTCACCGGTGAAACGGTGGTGCTGGCGGCGAATGGGGAGGCCTTGTTCTGCGACCAGGGATGCTGCGGGATGACCGGCAAGACCCACCTCACAGACGACAACTCCCTGAGCAAGAGCCACAGGCATGCGAGCCGGACGCCCTGCTTCCTACGAGTGCTTTAGGATTTAGGGTTTTAGGGTTTAGGGCTTGGGGTTTAGGGTTTAGGGGTTTAGGGTTTAGGGTTCAGGGTCTTTTTCCCCAAAGCCGCGAAAAACCTCAAGCCCTACCCCAAAAAGTCCGCCAGCGGCCTACAGATCCTGGAGCTCCAGAACCGTGCAGTTTAGGGTTTAGGGTTTAGGGTTCAGGGTTTAGGGTTTAGGGTCTAGGGTTTAGGGTTTAGGGCTACCTGAAACCCTAAACCCTCACCCCCAAAAAACAAACCGCCTTCAGGATGGTGGAGGCCTATGAGGCCGCCTACAGGAGCTACGCGCCCAGCCTATCCTTCGGCAAGCAGCCGGCGGATTCCGCTTGCAAGGCCTTCAAAAGCCCCTAAACCCCAAACCCTAAACCCTAAACCCGAAACCCGAAACCCTAAACCCTAAACCCTAAACCCTAAACCCTAAACGCGAAACCCGAAACCCGCAAACCCTAAACCCTAAACCTAAACCCGAAACCCGAAAACCCTAACCCTAAACCCTAAAACCCTAAAACCTAAACCCTAAAACCTAAACCCTAAACCCTAAATAAACCCCAACCCTAAACCGAAACCCTAAACCCTAAACCCCAAGCCCGAAACCCTAAACTTGAAATCCGAAACCCCAAGCCCGAGACCACAAATCACACACCCTACGCCCGGGAACCCAAGCTTTTCACGGTTTTGTGGACTGAAACTTTCACTGTGAAACCCTCAATACTAAACCCCAAACCCCAAACCCCAGGGACCGGAAAACCACATGAACATGAGGATCCTACTATTGGGGCATCTTTATGTGGCTCGCTCTTCCTGAAGCGATTGGAGGGGGTCGGCACACAAGAGTTGCGCGTTTAGGGCTTAGGGGGTTCCAGAAAAGGCTACCACCTTTTCTCTCCTAGGTTAGTTTGGCACCTATTTTGAGAGTCCCCAGCCTAAACCCCAAACCCCAAACCCCAAACCCCAAACCCCAAACCCCAAACCCCACACCCCAAACCCCAAACCCCAAACCCCAAACCCTAAACCCTAAACCCTACACCCTAGGAACCCTTTTTGTTGTGAAAGGCGGCAGGGCCGGTGCTGCTGGCGAGCTCCAACTTGGACACGCCACCGGCCAAGGAGTGAGGTTCATCTCGGGGTTTAGGGGTTGAGGGCTTGGGGTTGAGGGCTCTGAGCTTTGGGGATTCAGGTTTGGTGTGTCCGGCGGGTTTAAGGCTCAGGGTACTGTAGGGGTTTTACTGGGGTTCCAGGGGTTAGGGGTAGAGGTTCGAGTTAGTGGCTGAGGGTTGAGTGGTCGCATTTGAAACCCAAAATCCTAAACCCTCAGCCCTTAACACCCGAAGCCCAAACCTTAAACCCTAAAAGGCCAAAGCGCCCGAAACCCCTGAAGCCCGCCAAACTTACTGCTGGGGGGAGCTGGAAAGCAGGTCTTTCTCAAAAGTGCCCCATGCAACCCGGTACCAAACCCTAAAACCAAAAGCCTAAAATCTCAAAACCTACAACCCTGAGCCTTCAACCCTAAACCTTAAAGCCCTAAACCCTAAACCCGAAAGCCTAAACCCCAAACCCTAAACCCGAAAACCCTATGCCCACTTCCTGGGAAGGAGAAGTTGAAGAATTTGATCCAGGGGCTGCCCTCCACTGAAAATGCAGCGGATCAGTTTCCAATGCTCAAGGCGGTTAGAGTTTGAAAAGGTTTCTTTCTTGGGGTTTAAGGTGTTTTAGGGTTCAGAGGTTTCGGGTTTAAGGGGTTTTAGGGTTCAGGGGTTTGGGGTTTAAGGGGTTTAGGGTTTTGGGGGTTTATGCTTCTGCATCTCTTAACTCATGAGTTGCTTCCAAACTAACGCGACCCAATTTGAGGGCGTCATTTTCGGGGCCCATGCTGTAACATGGCGAGTGGGTGGGACTCCACTACCGGGCAAATTATAGCGAGGTCACGAGAGGTCAGCCAAAAATAGCGGAATTAGCGTCCCCGACCTGGACTGAAACGAAGTCACGTGGACCTGACCTTAATTTCCTGTGGGCCTTGGCCCGACACCCCCCTGACCTGTCTGAAATCCCCTTGGCCACCACAACCCTCTCTGACACTTTGCTGTCGCCTGGGGGGCGTGGGGGGGGTTGGGGTGGTGGTGGTGGTGGTGGTGGTGGTGAAAGGGGGGTGCATTCACACGAATTGCTATGTCGTCCGCCGGAAAAAAGGGCGGGCGAGGTTGGGGGAAACCCGAAACCCTAAACCCTAAACCCTAAACCCTAAACCCTAAACCCTAAACCCCAAACCCCAAACCCCAAACCCCAGTATGTTCCTGAAAAATGAAAAGCCTCAATAGGTGCTCTCTTTGGACGACGGCGCCCTGCTGAGCCGAGAGTTCTGGGATGCAGCGAGCCCCAGGCAGGTCCTAAACCCTAAACCCTAAACCCTAAACCCTAAACCCTAAACCCTAAACCCTAAACCCTAAACCCTAAACCCTAAACCCTAAACCCTAAACCGCCTAAACCGCCTAAACCGCCTAAACCGCCTAAACCGCCTAAACCGCCTAAACCCTAAACCCTAAACCGCCTAAACCCTAAACCCTAAACCCTAAACCCCAAACCCTAAACCCTAAACCCTAAACCCTAAACCCTAAACCCTAAACCCTAAACCCTAAACCCTAAACCCTAAACCCTAAACCCTAAACCCTAAACCCTAAACCCCGCACCATGAGGGCCCTAAACCCTGAACTGCGCCTTTCCAGAACGCACTTGAACCCGAAGACCTATAGCCAGATTCGGTTGTAGGGCCTTCAGTTGAGCCCACCCTGCAGACCCCAGGGAAATCCGAAACTCTAAGCCCCCAAGGGTTTAGGGTTTAGGGTTTAGGGTTGAGGGTTTAGGGTTTAGGGTTTAGGGTTTAGGATGAGAAGCCAGAGGTTTGCCGAGCCCAGCAACGTGAACCACGTGCTGTCAGCCCCGAAGACGCCGCTCGCCACCGTCCTGGCCGCGACCGAGGACCTTGCACGGGATCTCTAGAGATCTCTAGGGCTAGGGTTTAGGGTTTGGGGTTTGGGTTCAAGGTTTAGGGTTTAGGGTTTGGATTTAGGGGTTCAGGGATTCGGTGCAAACGAGGGGCTTTGATGGTAGCTACCTTATATCCCCCCAAAATACCCATTAAGAGATGATATAGACAAACCAAATTCCCTCTTGCCCGAATAAGAACCAGGACGCATGACTACAACACGGCAGCTCTTTTTAGTTATATTAAACCTACAAACCCTACTAGGCTTCAACCTTGCAGCGATGGTACAGTATGTCCCAAGAACCCTGAACCCCTAGAACCCTAGAACCCCAAACCCCTAGAACCCTAGAACCCTAGAACCCTAAACCCTAAACCCTAAACCCTAAACCCTAAACCCTAAACCCTAAACCCTAAACACCCCGCATGAAGGACCTCAAGGGCCTGCGCTCGGGTGGCGTCACCAATGCGGATGCTGCGTTCCATGACCTTGGTGTTCTCGAGGTCCTTCACCTCTCGGCCTTCGACCAGTGCGCCAGCATGGAGCAGAAGAACTCCTTGTTTCTGCTGCAAGCACAAGGTACCTCCTGTCATAGTTGGGTAACATTTTACCTTTTTAAGGGTACTTAAATCCCAATAAGGAATAGAGCTTTAAGTTGTGAATATTATCTCAACAATGAACAAGGCAAGAAGCCGGAGGTGAGGATGGATGTGGACTCCTCCGACCTCTGTCTCAAGGACCTTGAGAAGCAGCTCGCCGGCGCGGACGTGCTTGTGGCCCCCTCCGGCAACGCCGACCTCCTGGCCTACGTCTACACCCAGTTCGCCCCCAGCCTCGGCAAAAAGATCGCGCAGCGTGTGAAGGACAAGAATCGTCATCAAGTCCCCCCACGCCTTAGTTTGAAGCAGCCCCCGGGGTGAACCGGCTTAAAGCCCCAGGGTTTAGGGTTTAGGGTTTAGGGTTTAGTGTTTAGCGTTTAGGGCCCTGTGAGGACGGTGCCGCGGTCTTCGTGGGCCAAGGAGCAGGGGCCATCTTCGCCGGCAAGAGCATCGCACTGACTGCCGGTCCCAATGCTGGGATCCTGCGCCACCTCTTGCACGACACTTTGTCATAGGGTTTAGGGTTTAGGGTTTAGGGTTTAGGGTTTAAGGCTTCAGGGGTACTTAAACCCAATAGTGAATATACATTTACACTGTTCATACTATCCCAACCATGAACTAGGACAATATGGACGGCTTGCAGCTGACCAGCTGCGCCATCCGACCCTCCTGGGACAAGGAGTCGTGGCAAGGGGTTCCGGAACCTTTGGGGTTTAGACCTAGGTTTAGGGTTTAGGGTTTGGGGTCTGGGGTTTAGGGTTTAGGGTTTGGGGTTTAGGGCTCCTTGCCCGAACCCCTTTTTGCAGGTAACTTCTGTGAGGATTGGGCTTAGGATACCCTCAGAAGGATTCGAGAGTGCGCGCCCAATAGCGGGATGGTCGAAGCCTAAGTCTATAGGCCTAAACAATGGACCCTACAAGGGCCTAGAGTTAGGCAAGGTTCGGGAGTACCGGTTTAGGGTTTAGGGTTTAGGGTTCAGGGTTTAGGGTTTAGGGTTTAGAGTTTAGGGTATGGACCCCCAAAGTTGTTCCTGCTGGCAGGGAGGATCCACTCTCAACCCTAGATCCAGCTTGGGTCGCCTTTCCGGATTTGTTGTGGGCTCACCCCACCCGGGCAGGTGGCAATTACACACCACGTCGAAGCCCTTGCAGCAGATTTGAGGGTCTATATGAATTCGAGTAAAGGCTTCTGCGCTGAGTACACCCAAATGCGGGCGACTATGCCTTAACAACACCAAAACTTGCATGCTCTTGCTGCAGTTTTGCACGTGCTTGGTCAGACCCGGTCGCACCCAGTCACACCTGATCATACCCTAAACCCTAAACCCTAAACCCTAAATCCTGAACCCTAAACCCTAAACCCTAAACCCCGGTCACACTCGGTCATACCTGGTCATACCCGACAAACTTCGCACCGTAGAGGAGTGGTGGGACCTTAGCGCCTCGATCTTGGAGGATGCCCTGCAGCAAGGATGCAGTAGTACCCCTAAACCCTAAACCCTAAACCCTAAACCCTAAACCCTAAACCCTAAACCCTAAACCCTAAACCCTAAATCCTAAATCCTAAACCCTAAACCCTACACCCTAACCACTTGGGGCTCCCTAACTTCCGAAACCGGTCAGGCAAACCGACATTGTCGGCTTGGAGGATGGTGATGTCCTGGTCTGCCAGGGACCCTGCGCCGTGCGCGGCAAGACGGAGGTCGCCAGGTCCTCCCGGTTTCTTGGTTTAGGGTTTAGGGTTTAGGGTTTAGGGTCTTGGTAGGCCAGTCGTACCCTTTTGGCTCAATTTTTTTGGTTTGGGTTCTATACGTTCCTTTTACAAAGTCACCAACCCCCCGAAAAAGGTTACCCTGATTGCAATATGTTCTAGGTTCCATAAAGTAACCAACCCTCCGGGAAAGGGTACCCTTATTGGAATATGTTCTAGGTTCCCTAAAGTAGCCAACCCCAAACAGGGTACCCTTATTATTGTGATTACAGTTCTTATGATTATTGTTATTATGATTCTTATTATTTTCTTATAGTTCTTCTTCTTATAACTATTGCTACACTTTCAATATTTCTTCTTCTTATCGCTATTGTTATTGTTATTGTTATTGTTATTGTCATTGTCATTGTCATTGTTATTGTTATTGTTATTGTTATTGTTATTGTTATTGTTATTGTTATTGTTATTATGATGGTCCTTCTTCTTATTATCATCATTCTTATCATTACTTCTAGCATTTTTTATTTGAGTGATTCAAGTAGAGTGTTAAACATGTTAAACAAATGCTTGTTATTTTTGTAGCAAGAAGTCAGAGCTTTGTCTAGCTGCTGCTAGTGTTTTTAATGGTTCTTCCAGAGCTTATAGCTTTTCTGAAATTCAAACATGTTTCCAGAAAACAGATAGCTTAACTTGCTTCTTTTTCGACAGTTTGAGAACAGGAGAAGACAGAAACTCATTTTTGAAACTGGCCGACTGAAAACACCGCTCAAAATGTGAACAAATACTTAAAAAATTGACTGTTGTCGAGCTGCAGCTGGTGGTTTAGGGTTTAGGGTTGAGGGTTTAGGGTTTAGGGCTTAGGGTTTAGGGTTGAGGGTTTGGGGTTTAGGGGTTAGGGCTACCAAGGTTCAGTGAGGCGGACGACCGGAGCCGCCATCGAGGCCGGCTTCATCTCGCGATGATGAGGGCCTTGCAGAAGCTGACGGCCCAGTGAAAACCCTAAGCCGAAGCCCCCGCCCCCTGTATGAACTCTATTGCCCAAAACCCTAACGCTAAACCCCAAATCCTAAACTCGAAGCCCGAAACCCTAAACCCCAAACCCCAAACTTTAAAGCAGCGACTTCGCTCGAAGCCTGCGCGCCTGAGCCCTTGGCCTCAGTTCCTGGTCGGGGGTGTTTCGGACTCGGGTCCCTATGAGGGAGTTAGTTTAGGGTTTAGGGTTTAAAGTTTAGGGTCTAGGGTTTTAGGGTTTAGGGTTTGGGGTGTGGGGTTCAGGGTTTAGGGTTTAGGGTTTAGGGTGTAGGGTGTAGGGTTTAGGGTTTAGGGTGTAGAGTTTATGGGTTAGGGTGTGGGAGCTCCCAGTTTGTGGACCCGAGCTATTTTGTCTCAGTTTGGAGCGACTCATGGGTTTACGTGTGCTCAGGGTTTGATGTGTTTAGGGTTTAGGGTTGAGGTTTTAGGGTTTAGGGTTTAGGGTTTGGGGTTTAGGGTTTGGGGTTTAGGGTTTAGGGTTTAGGGGGTTGCGGGGTTGAGCTGTGGGCTTTAAAGGTTTTAGGGTTTACATAGGGTTTCCGTAAACCTTTGCAGCATCGCTCGTGACAACAGGGATCATGGCACGCATCAGTTAAACGACTGCTTGCTGCTTGCTTTCGCCTGCGCGCGGCCCAGCTGCCAGACTCAGAACTGCTGAGACTCGACGGCGCACGCAGCACAACGGAAGCAGGGGTTTCAAGATCCTAAACCCTAAGCCCTAAGCCCTAAACCCTAAACCCTAAACCCTAAAACCGCAAACCCGCAGGCACCAGCCCATGAAGCTGGCAGATGGGTAGAAGGTCGTCAGGACCCTAAGGTGTCGGTTGAGGGTATCCGGAGAAAAGGATTCTTTTTTTTTGGGGGACTTCTGAGGGTTTAGGGTTTAGGGTCTAGGGTTTAGGGTTTAGGGTTCAGGGATTAGGGTTTAGGGTTTGAGGTTTAGGGATTTGGGTGGTTTAGGGATTAGGGTTAGGGTTTAGGGTTCAGGGAAAAGGGCTGCCACAGCGCCCGAAGCTCTAAAGGGTCCTAAGCGGCCATGAGGCCCCGTGTCACCCAATTGCCACCCCTCCGGCCCACCTGAATCAGGGTTGAAGGTTTGGGGTTTAGGGTTTAGGGTTGGGCTGAAGGTTCAGGGTTTAGGGTGGAGGGGTTATGGGTACTCAAAATTCCTCAGTCCTCTTTTTGTTCGGGCTAGCTGTCCTGCTTATCATCCTACATCATAAGCGCTAAGTAATCCTGATGATACCTCAATGGATAGACCCGAAACCCGAAACCCTAAATGAAGTATTTGTTTATCTCCCTACGCCTAAGCCCTACAGTAAATTCCAGAAAGTCGGAACATGGTTGAAGGATGATTAGAGCTGGGATTTCCTTTAGATTCCTTTTGGGGTATGGGGATAAGCCCTAAACCCTCAGCCCTAAAACCTAAACCCTAACCCTAAACCCTAAACCCTAAACCCTAAACCCTAAACCCTCAACCCTCAACCCCCATGCCCAGGCGCGTCGCTGGGAGGCGCGCCCGGGTATCCAGCAGCAGGGGACTGGAGCTCCAACTGTGAACTCGGAGGGTTTGGGGGTTTAGGGTTTAGGGTTTAGGGGTAGGGTTTAGGGTTTAGGGTTTAGGGTGTAGGGTTTAGGGTTTAGGGTTTCGGGTTTCGGGTTTAGGGTTTAGGGTTTAGGGTTGGGGAGCCGAAGCCCCAAAGCCTCCCCGGGGGCCTTTGAATCAAGGTGCCCTGGTCAACAGCTGCCGAGGCCCAGGTAAGATGCGTAGATGTGGTCTCTCTAGGGTTTAGGGTTTAGGGTTTAGGGTTTAGGGTTTAGGGTTTAGGGTTTAGGGCTGATGATTTAGGGCTTATCCCGTGGTTGCAACTTGCATGTGTGAGCCTCAACTTGTGCAGGGGTTGAAGGTATTCCGGGCCGTTCTCCACGGGTGGAGACGTAGGTGTAACGTTGAATCCAGGAAAGCCTGCCAGCCAGAACCTTGCATTTCCAACAGCCGCTTCGCGCGCTTCTCAGAGGAAGACAGTTAGCATCACCCAGGTGGAAACCCTAAACCCTAAACCCTAAACCCTAAACCCTAAACCTCTAGGGTGTAGAGTTCTCAGTCGGACATGCCCAATGACCCAAGAGGCTCACAGTCTTAATCCCGAAGCTCTAAACCCTACAAACACCCTGAACCCCAAACCCTAAACCCTAAACCCTGAACCCTGCACCCAAAACCCTAAACCCTAAATCCCTAATTCCCTGAACCCCCCAAACAACCACCTAAGCCCGATACCGAAGCCGACCGTGGCAGCTTTGTGCAACTCCATCGAAATCCGCCGCATGCCTCCATGAACCGGGGCCGCACGGACGGGACGCTGCAACTCAGGGGACACCAAGAAGCCGAACCCCTCTCTGCGCCCCTCAAGAGCCCCTTGGGCCAGTTGATGTGAAGGGGTTTTGAAGGGTCGTGGGCTTGGGGCAGCCCGAAGCCCTAAACCCTAAACCCTAAACCCTAAACCCTAAACCCTAAACCCTAAACCCTAAACCCTAAACCCTAAACCCTAAACCCTAAACCCTAAACCCTAAACCCTAAACCCTAAACCCTAAACCCTGAAGCGGCTGGCAGCCCTGGACCCTAAACGGCCTTAAGCCCTGCACCTCTTTCAGTTCTGGTGGCCTTTGGGCTTGGAGGGATGCTGGTGGCGCTGTGGGCGCCCCTTCTAAGGTTTAGGGTTTTGGGTTTACTGTGGAGTTTAGGGTTTAGGGTTTCGGGTTTAGGGTTTAGGGTTTAGGGTTTAGGTTCCCCTAGACGGCTGGTGTAAATGACAGGCTGTGATAGGCTTCTAGCGTTTGTAGCTTGCGGTCTTGTTGTTTGAGGCCAAACCCTAAGCCCCAAGTCCTCAACCCTAGGCCCGGAACCCTAGACCCTATAACCCTATAACCCTATAACCCTATCCTAAACCCTAAACCCTAAACCCTAAACCCTAAACCCTAAACCCTAAACCCTAAACCCTAAACCCTAAACCCTAAACCCTAAACCCTAAACCCTAAACCCTAAACTTTAAACCATAAACCCTAAACCCTAAACCCTAAACCCTAAACCCTAAACCCGGAGGCTCAGTCTTTCATGAAAGGAGGACCAGAAGATGGGTCCTCAGACCGCATCTGATCTCAGGGCTTGCGAGGGTTTAGGGTTTAGGGTTTAGGGTTTCGGGTTTCGGGTTTAGGGTTTAGGAAGGCAGACCCAAAAGCCGAAGCGTGGTTTAGGGTGTAGGGTTTAGGGGTTAGGCGTTCAGGGGTTGAGGGGTTTATTAAACCTAAACCTGGAACCCCTGAACCCTTTCTCAAGGTTCAGGGTTTAGGGGTTAGAGTTGGTGAAGTCACCCCATTCTTTGCGAAGTAGTGAGTGTTATTGGTTTTAAACTAAAGTTTTTGGTGGGGAGTGTACGCGGGGGTCTTCATACATGTTGGTGAGTGTAGATGGGGAGTGTCCGTTTGAGAATACTAGCAGCAAGAACCCTATACTGCACGTACTATAGGAATTTCGGAAAGGGCGCGTATGGGGATGAGGCTCTCGACGTATTGCCTGGAAACTCTAAACGCTAGACCCTGCAAGCGTCCAGGAAGTGTACCTAAGGTCACATTGACCTTTTGCAAGCCCTAACCCTATACCCTAAACCCGAAATCCCAAACCCTAAACCCTAAACCCTAAACCCTAAACCCTAAACCCTAAACCCTATGCAAACCCTAAACCCTAAACACACACACACACACACACAGGGTCAGGAGGTGCGTATCCGAAACCCCCAATCCGCAGCCCCCAAACTCTGAAACCCTAAACAGGCCGCCAGGCTTCTGCCGCGGCAGAAGACAGCATCCCTCTGGCAATCTTCCGTTGCCCTATGCCCGAATCCCTAAACTCTAAACCCTAAACCCTAAACCCTAAACCCTAAACCCTAAAACCTAAACCCTGAACCCTAATCACACTCAAGTTGGTGACCCTAAAGCCCGCTTGCAACACAACCCCCCATACTGTCTCCCCCCAAAGCCCGTCAAGCTTGAAGGTCTGAAGCCTACAGTTTGGGTTTAGGGTTTAGGGTTTAGGGTTTGGGGTTTGGGGTTTAGGGTTTAGGGTTTAGGTTTAGGGTTTAGGGCTACGAGACTCAGGAAACTTTGAGCCTGGCGCCGGCCCGCACGGTGACGCGGCCGCAGCTGGACACAAGTGCGAGCTCCGGTGGCGTCCTGGCCTTCTTCAAGTGGAGCCTTCCCTGCGGTTTAGGGTTTAGGGTTTAGGGTTTAGGGTGCAGGGTTTAGGGTTTAGGGTTTAGGGTTCAGGGTTTAGGGTTTAGGGTGCAGGGTTTAGGGTTTTTGGGTTTTAGGGTTTGGAGTTTCGGGTTTCGGGTTCAGGGCGTTTAGAGTGGAGTTTAGGTCTTCTTCATTTGGCGCCTCCGCTGCTTTTTAGGGTTGAAGGTATACGCTTTCAGGGTTTAGGGTTTAGGGTTTAGGGTTTAGGGTTTAGGGTGGAGTTTAGGTGTCTATGGCTTTTGGGGTTGACGGCTGCTTGCGGGCTTGCTGCCTTTGGTGGTGAAGAATACCGAAGTGGCAACCTCGAACGTGCTTGGGTACGAGAGAAATCCCTGAAATGCCATCGGTTTCCCTTTTGTGCTCATGGTTTAGGGTTTAGGGTTTAGGGCTCCGGGTGTGAGGTTCAGGGTGTGGGGTCCGGTTTAGACTCAGCAATCTCAGCCAGCAATGGCCCTTGTTTCATCGGAGTGCACAGGAACAACCGAGACTGTGTGGGAAGCAGCTTCCACGCAAGTGTGCTGAACAACCGGGAGAAGGAGGTCATCAGGCAACTCGATGCAGGCCTTGCCCGTTTAATATAGGGGCCTGAAGAATTGAGTTACAAGGTTTTGGGGGGTGATTATCGTATAAATTCTAACAAAAATAACAGGACCCTGAGGGAATACCATTCGTAACTATTGCGACCCTAGATTAGCAATTCAGGGAAGAAGATCCCCCCCCTCCATAAGACTGGTTCGGTCTTGGGTTTGGGGCGGTGTAGGTTCTAGGAAACCTTATACCCGAAACCCTAAACCCTAAACCCTAAACCCTAAACCCTAAACCCTAAACCCTAAACCCTAAACCCTAAACCCTAAACAACCCAAAAAGCTCCTAACAAGCCGTTAGACCGTAGTAGGTGTGGACGTCGATGCAATCTTCCGCTATGAGACGGTCTGGCAGGGAAGGCAGCAGCAGTGCACTGGCAAGGCCCTCTCGCTGCCCTGAATGTTCAGGGTTTAGGGTTTAGGGTTTAGGGTTTAGGGTTTAGGGTGAGGCCGTTAGGGGTTTAGTCCTGGGTTAAGAGCAAACAGCCCTGTGCAAAATCGTACTGGCCCACGCCCCCGAAGCCCTCAAGCGAAATCGTGACCTCTGAGATTCCAAACCAAGTAGAACCGGCCCTTCCCTGCACGGCTGCAGGCTCGTCTGCTGTTTTCATGACCTTATGACCCCCAACCCTACTTAGGGTTTAGGGTTTAGGGTTTCGGGTTTGGGGTTTAGGGGTTAGGGTTTAGGGGTTAGAGGTTAGGGTTGTTCATGGTTGCTTACAAGCAGGGTTGCCTGAGCCCGAAGCCTTAAGCTGGAGACGGCCCTTCAGGTGAGACCGTTAAGCTTCAACCCTCACCCCTCAACCGTAATACAGGGGCCTGCATAATTAGAATAGGGGTTTGGGGGTGATTAAAATAGTACAAATATACAGGGACCCCAAGGGTATACAGTAAGTATTTATGCCGACCCCTCAACCGCACCTCCCTGAGATCCCCTCTTGCCTGGCCAGGCCATCCACCTCGCTGCCAGCCGCTGCCACCTGTCCATGGTGCAATTATTGCTTGAGAGGCAGGCTGTCGGTCAGTCCGGTTTGAGCGCGCATGTGTGTGTGTGTGTGTGTGTGTTTGGGTTTGGGTTTGGGTTTGTTTGTGCTTGTGCTTGTGTTTGTGTTTATGTTTGTGCTTGTGCTTGTGTTTGTGTGGACGTGTGGGAGAAGACCTCATTTTCCATGCTCACAGCAGGGGCAGTGAACGACGGACAGACACTACCCAACGAAGACACTTTCCGTTTGCGCGAAGCAAGGGTGGACGCACCTTTGCATATCTGAAGCACACTGATGGTTATGGACGTCTTGTGAAGCACGCCTAAACCCTAAATCTAAACGCTAATCCCTCAACCCTAAACCCTCAACCCTAAACCCAAACCCCCCTTAAAGGGTATACATATATATATATATATGTATATATATGTATATATATGTATATGTATCTCTCTCTATATATAGGGGCCCTAATTCCCTCATTCCCTGCTGATCAACAGTTGGATCAGCAGCCAGCTTGTGCTGCATCTCGTCGAGTAGGGTTGTGCAAGCATGTCATGGAGCCAACACGACGAGGCATTTAGCTCAGACAGGGAACCACTCTTGATGCAGGTTTAGGGTTTAGGGTTTAGGGTTTAGGGTTTGCAGCATGTGGGTGACAGCGTTACTGAGAGATGTGGAGAGCATATGAGCGAAGCACGTGTGCAAAGCAATTTAAGATTCCACTTCAACATGCAGCCCCACGACCAGCTCACTCTTGGCACTCACATCGAAGTGCCGCGACCTGTTCATACAACACATCCTTCATGCCTCCCCACATCAAGCCTCTACTAGATTGGTGTCACCCCAGCAAAAACAGCGCACATGTGTGTAATGCATGTATTGTATGTTGTATGCACTGTTCACAATGTCTGTCATGTATGCGTATGTAAAGTATGTGAGGTACGCAATCTATCTAATGTACGCAATCTATCTAACGTAATGTATGTAATGTAATGTATGTAATGTATGTAATGTATGTAATGTATGTAATGTACGTTTGCGCACACGTCATATGCATTTATGTGTTTATGTAAGTGCGTGTTTGCCTGTTCTATGTAGACTTTTTGACAAAACCCCTTGAAGCACGAACTCTAACTCCTAAATCTCAAGCCCTAAACCCTAAACCCTAAACCCTAAACCCTAAACCCTAAACCCTAAACCCTAAACCCTAAACCCTAAACCCTAAACCTTAAGCCCTAAACCCTAAACCCTAAACCCTGAACCCTGAACCCTAAACCCTAAACCCTAAACCCTGTTTGCAAGCCCTGGAAGGAATGCCAGCCTGCACAGCATGGTGACGAGGGATGGCCAGGACAACTACGAGGACGGCTGCAGGGATCTTGTTCACGACTTAGGGTTTAGGGTTTAGGGTTTAGGGTTTAGGGTTTAGGGTTTAGGGTTTAGGGTTTAGGGTTTAGCCCAGTTAGATGATGGTAGGCGGCTGTTGTGGGAAGAGTTGTGTGACAAGACGAATCACCAAGTATTCGCACGAGCCCTTTCTGGCTCCACTAGAGGATAAAGGTGAAACGGCAACGAGCGAGAACAAATCATACCAAACCCCGAACCCCAAACCCCAAACCGTAAACCGGTAAACCGGAAAACCCTAAACCCTGAACCCTAAACCCTGAACCCTAAAACCTGAACCCTAAGCCCCATCGAATCCCAGTAGCCCAAGCTGGACATTCCATAGCATGACCTGGGAATCCTGACTGTCAACCCAGCAACCAAGGGGGAAAGTTTAGGGTTTAGGGTTGAGTGTTTAGGGCTTGGGGTTTAGGGTCAAGAATGTACATTGGGGAGTTCAGGGACAAGTAAAACGAGGTTCAAGTGGGTTGTTTGAATATTGTTCAGGGTCTAGGGTTTAGAGCTTTAGATGAAGGGTTGAGACCTTCAGGCGAACTGAGCCCGTTTTGTCCTTCCACATGTACTTCTTTCATCAAAACAAAGCTGCAACGTCGTCAATTTCGCGTCTCATGCCATGCAATCTTGCTGCTACCTGTGGAGAGCAGGAAGTTTGCCCAGGTGACGCGTGCAAACATCCAAACAGGAATGTTGAGGCTGCGATGTGTGACAGGATTTCGTGTAGTTGTGGTCGAAGCCGGACAGCAGCAGTTGCACTAAGAAGAGAACATCTTGGCACGCCAGAGAGCATGCGAACCCCAGAGACAATCATAGAGCTGCTGTGTTCCTGGCGTGGCCTTCTATTTGAGTACCCGAAACCTAAACTTACATTCCCAAGCCCTCTCCGCGCGTCAGTGGCTCTAGACATCGCGGATCCTTGTGAGGGCTGCAGCACAGCCCCCCACAGCCTTAAGCGTCCCATCAAGTTTCCCTAGGCCCCAAGGCCTTAGACTATCTTTCAGCCACAAAACCCTAAACGTGACTCACATCAGCCTTGAGAGTGACATGAATTTTGTGAACGCTGTGTGCACACAGCTTTGGGGTCGCCACATGTACGCAAGCTTCATCCCAAGCCCTAAGCCGCAACCCCTAAACCCGAAACCCTAAACCCTAAACTCTGAACCCCTCAACCCTGCCAGGCCTGAGGGGTTGAGGGGGGGTTTGGGCTTGGTGTTTGGCAGCTTCCCATGCCGACTTGAGTCGTGCAACCACGGTGGGGATTCTACATGAGGTCCCTAAACCCTAAACCCTCAACCCTCAACCCTCAACCCTTGACCATAAACCCTCAGCCCTCAACCCTAAACCCTAAAAGCCCAGATCCTAAACCCTAACAACCCTGAACCCTAAACCCCAAGCAGCTGTCTTTAGGGTTGAGGGTTCTCTCAGAGGGTCCGACACACCTACGCCACCCTTCTTCCCAGAGGTGATCCATGCCGCAGTCTTCAGGGAGGGGCGAGGGGGCTGCCGCGAGATGATCGACTTCCTGTGTGCCAGGCAGGGGCGTTTGAGGGGATTTTTCTGGCGCATCGAGTATCTGGGAATTTCGGTCTAGGATTTCGGGTCCAGGGAAAGTCGGGTGGAAGGTCTTGAGCAGATACAGGCTGAACTCCTACAGCACTCAGCCGAAGAAGACCCAACCCCAAGCTGCAGGAATTCCTGCAGCCTTCGGAGCTCCAGATTTTCCCTCCAAACAAACCCTGAACTTCCCTGAGCTCCAAGCCTGCGAAGCCCAGGCGCAGTCGGGTTCAGGGTTTAGGGTTTCGGGTTTCGGGTTTCGGGTTTAGGGTTTAGGGTTTAGGGTTTAGGGTTTAGGGTTTAGGGCTACGCAATAAACCCGCAGGGGTGCAGATATCGAGTGCTTGAATGCCAACAACTGGTCGTGTCAGCACGTGGCGTTCCAGACGGGACTCTCGGCACCGAAACCTTGAACCCTAAACCTGAACCCTAAACCTTAAACCTTAGCGTAACCCGTAAGCCTTAAATCCGAAACTCGAAACCCTACACCCTAAACCCGAAACCCTAAACCCGAAACCTTAAACCCCTAAACCCTCTCCCCTCCCCCAAAAAGAATACAACAACGACACTTGTGAGGAAACATGGAGACCATCTGGGCGGTGGAGCGCGCCCGTGCGAAGAAGCTGGGCTTGGACGAGAGCAGCGAAGATGCGGAGCAGGAAGTGGAAGGCTTCTCATTGGGGTTTAGCGTTTTAGGGTTTAGGGTTTAGGGTTTAGGGATAGCACCCAATACCTCGTTTTGGGTTTAGGATTTAGGGTTTAGGGAGAGCGCCCAATACCTCGAAACTCCTACACCCCTGAAGCCTCTAACGCATAAGCCATTCCAAGCCCCTAAATTCCTCAGCCCCATGGAGTACCCCCAAACCCGAGATCCTGAAGTTTCCAGTTCCTGGCCCCTCTACGCCTTTAGACTCTTGAGTTGGGCGTCAAGGTGCATAGGGTTCTTTGCCAAAACAGGAAACTAACCCTAAACCCTAAACCCCAAAGCCCAAATTTTAGGGGGTTCAGGGTTCTCTTTTTCGATATGTTTGAGCATTTTCAAAAATGAATTAAAAGGACCCTTTAATTGCTTGAATGAGAGAGGGGTTTCCCTTTACTTGGCTGTGGACGGTGGCAGGAGTGGCATCGAGGAGTGAGGGCGCAGGAGGTCATTACAACAAAAAAACGATTCAGCCGGCGAAATCAGTTGAGTTTGAAATTTGTTCGGAGATCTAAATCAGATTCCTTCTCCCGGGTTCTCCGCGAGCCCGAATCGAACCCTTTATCCCCCGCCCGCTCCTGGACATGGCCCATAACTTGGACTTGGATGACCACTGCTCGGGCCCAGGGGCCCAGAGTGGGTTAGGGCCTTGGTTTTTTTACGAGGGCTGCGGGTTGTGGGCTTCTTGCTTCGTTGTGCGGTTTTGGGTTGCAGGCTTCAGATCGTGAAGGGTTTTTTGCGCGATGGAGTTTCGCGCGCTTCCCCTGTAGTTCCCCTGTACTTCCCCTGTACTTTCCCTGTAGTTTCTCTCTGGTTTCCCTGAGGCCGCAACCTTTTGAACTTCGCGTGCTTTTGATGCCACACGAGGCCCGGGACGGGCGTGGCACTTCGGGATTGAAGTGAAGGAAACCTGAAAAAAGCCTTTGCCTCGCCCCAGATTTCCCTAAGCTTGGGGTTGGTTCAGGGTTCGGGGTTTGGACGTTTGCCTTCCATGGTGATGCATGCCCCGGCCTTGGGGTTTGGGTTTAGGGAGAAAGTTTAGGGTTTCGGGTTTAGGGCAGTTTAGGGTTTAGGTTTTAGGTTTAAGCCCCGTTGCCTTTCATAAGCACGTGCCTCTTATTCCCTCTAATTCCCCTGTAATTCCCCTGTAATTCCCCTGTAATTTCCCTGTAGTTTCCCTGTAGTTTCCCTTCAGCTGTGTTATTCTTCAGCCCTACCCTCGCAGGTCAATAATTTTGCTTCTAAGTTCGGGTACCTCTTTTGCTTTCGGCAAGGGCTTAAGGGTTTAGGGTTTGGTCAGGAGTCAGGAGTTTTTTATTTTTATTTGCGGGGGGGGGGGGGGGTGGGTTGCGGTTTTGAGGCTGATTTCAGGATGCAGCTCCTGATCCAAAATCTCCGGAAACCCAGTTGGCTCCGGCCACGGCAACTCTGCGCAGCAACGGCTGTCAAAAGAAACCCAAGACTTTGCAATGACTCTGCAAGAAAATGTGATGCTGGTGATTGCCCCTGAACGAGTCCTGCGTGGTGGAGGAGGTTATGTCTTGGAACCACCCGGCTATAAGAGTGCAGGGACTGTTCCCCTAACTTTAAGCTTTATGGCCCTTTTTTTTGAGGGGGGGGGGGGTTGCGGATAGGGCCATAAGGGTTAGGCAACAAATTGTTGCCTAACCCTTATGGCCCATGTTTTTTTTTGGGGGGGAGGGCGCGGCCAGGGCCATAAGGGTTAGGCAACAAATTGTTGCCTAACCCTTATGGCCCATGTTTTTTTTTGGGGGGGGAGGGCGCGGCCAGGGCCATAAGGGTTAGGCAACAAGTTTTTGCCTAACCCTTGTGGCCCTGTCCGACGGGAGGGGGGGGGGTTGTAGGGAACTGAACTGGCCATGTCTTAGAACAGCCCGGCTATAAGAGTGCAGGGGCTGTTCCCCTAACACTAAACAGTTTGGCGCGGATAGGGCCATAAGGGTTAGGCAACAAATTGTTGCCTAACCCTTATGGCCCTGTCCAGGCATAGGCCTTAAGGGAAACAGCTGAAATGCATGGCAACTGGATCTGAGTTGGATGGGATTGCATGTAAAGCAATGGCTGGTATGTCGATCCCATCCAATTCTGCAAGGGATTTCAGCTGTTTCCCTTAAGGCCTATGCCTGGACAGGGCCATAAGGGTTAGGCAACAATTTGTTGCCTAACCCTTATGGCCCTATCTGCGCCAAACTGTTTAGGGTTAGGGGAACAGCCCCTGCACTCTTATAGCCGGGCTGTTCTAAGACATGGCCAGTTCAGTTCCCTACAACCCCCCCCCCCCTCCCGTCGGACAGGGCCACAAGGGTTAGGCAAAAACTTGTTGCCTAACCCTTATGGCCCTGGCCGCGCCCTCCCCCCCCAAAAAAAAACATGGGCCATAAGGGTTAGGCAACAATTTGTTGCCTAACCCTTATGGCCCTGGCCGCGCCCTCCCCCCCAAAAAAAAACATGGGCCATAAGGGTTAGGCAACAATTTGTTGCCTAACCCTTATGGCCCTATCCGCAACCCCCCCCCCCCTCAAAAAAAAGGGCCATAAAGCTTAAAGTTAGGGGAACAGTCCCTGCACTCTTATAGCCGGGTGGTTCCAAGACATAACCTCCTCCACCACGCAGGACTCGTTCAGGGGCAATCACCAGCATCACATTTTCTTGCAGAGTCATTGCAAAGTCTTGGGTTTCTTTTGACAGCCGTTGCTGCGCAGAGTTGCCGTGGCCGGAGCCAACTGGGTTTCCGGAGATTTTGGATCAGGAGGCTGCATCCTGAAATCAGCCTCAAAACCGCAACCCACCCCCCCCCCCCCGCAAATAAAAATAAAAAACTCCTGACTCCTGACCAAACCCTAAACCCTTAAGCCCTTGCCGAAAGCAAAAGAGGTACCCGAACTTAGAAGCAAAATTATTGACCTGCGAGGGTAGGGCTGAAGAATAACACAGCTGAAGGGAAACTACAGGGAAACTACAGGGAAATTACAGGGGAATTACAGGGGAATTACAGGGGAATTAGAGGGAATAAGAGGCACGTGCTTATGAAAGGCAACGGGGCTTAAACCTAAAACCTAAACCCTAAACTGCCCTAAACCCGAAACCCTAAACTTTCTCCCTAAACCCAAACCCCAAGGCCGGGGCATGCATCACCATGGAAGGCAAACGTCCAAACCCCGAACCCTGAACCAACCCCAAGCTTAGGGAAATCTGGGGCGAGGCAAAGGCTTTTTTCAGGTTTCCTTCACTTCAATCCCGAAGTGCCACGCCCGTCCCGGGCCTCGTGTGGCATCAAAAGCACGCGAAGTTCAAAAGGTTGCGGCCTCAGGGAAACCAGAGAGAAACTACAGGGAAAGTACAGGGGAAGTACAGGGGAACTACAGGGGAAGCGCGCGAAACTCCATCGCGCAAAAAACCCTTCACGATCTGAAGCCTGCAACCCAAAACCGCACAACGAAGCAAGAAGCCCACAACCCGCAGCCCTCGTAAAAAAACCAAGGCCCTAACCCACTCTGGGCCCCTGGGCCCGAGCAGTGGTCATCCAAGTCCAAGTTATGGGCCATGTCCAGGAGCGGGCGGGGGATAAAGGGTTCGATTCGGGCTCGCGGAGAACCCGGGAGAAGGAAATTTCGAACAAATGTCGAACTCAACGATTCGGTTTAGCTTCGATGAATGTATGGTATTGCCCGCAGGGGCTGTGACCAAGTTTTTATTGCAATGACCTCCTACGCCCTCACTCCTCAATGCTACTAATGCCACCGCCCAAAGTCCTAAACCAAAGTTCTATCGCGCCATTTTATCGGTCAACTAGCTTTCGCCGGCCGACAGAACTGATTGCTACATCAAATACAGGTCCTCTTATTTCTGAATGAACCAGATCGATAAAGAGAACCCTGAGGGGGTTCGCCCTGATGCGCCAGCACAGAATGCTGGTTTAACGAAAGATTTCGCGGTTGTCTCATTGTAGACATGAACGCAAGAGCATGTTGAAAGCAACCGGAAACGGAGAGTAAAACTTGTTTTGAAGGGGCCAGGGGTCCAAATCGGGTTTGATTGGCCTTGACATTGTGGGGTTCAGGGCACAATATCTCTCAATCAAAGAAATTAGAAGATCAATATGAAAGATGATCGAAAAGAGCGAGGAAGAGAGAAATCGGATCAGTATTAATTGCGAAGATTAATATTCCTTATATACCTTGATAAACCGAATGAAGACCCATTCGAGAATTAGACTATGTCGTCTTCATTCCTGAAGATCATGATTATTTATATAGATCAATTGCATAAGAATACAAATTAAAGAGAATATCCGTTCAAATTTATTTGCGACGATCGTGATTTTCTATATTTAGAATCAAATCGAACGACATCTATCCGTATAGATAGATGAGGATCATGAATTCTTGATTTATATTCCGTCAAATAGAAGGTTCGTCCTTATATGAAAGGAAGATCATATCGAAAGAGATATTAATAACATATTCCTGCGAAACTCATGATTCGTAACGTAATCATGATCTTCATAGGCGAAATTGAAATAGTCAATTTGTCGAAGCGATCTTCATTCGATTTGACAATCGATAAATATAGAAGGTTGATCTCGTAAAAAAAGTGATTCGATTTATAAGGAAGAAATCGACTCACTGGTGACCTGGGGCGATACCCATATTTACTGCGGCGTCTGCGGGTTGGTATGCGATCTGCAAAATGTGCAGCGGGTGCAGGCCTCGCAGGCTTTATCGTCATATTCATCATCAGCTTTTGCTGCGGTCCGGGCTGATGGATCTGTGGTGAGTTGGGGCAGTTCTTTGTTTGAATGCAACAGCAGTGCCATAGATTCCATACAGCAAGCTTCGGACCGAGCGTTTGCAGCGATCCTGGCGGATGGATCCGTGGTGACCTGGGGCGATGCTAAGTTCGGTGGCGACAGCAGTGCCGTGCGAGAGCATCTCAAGAACTTTCTTCTTGTTGAAGACCATGATAATCTATACCCATGGATCCCGGATGAAGAGCAATTCAAAAGATGGGTAGTTCAAGATCCCAGCGCCAGTCCACCTTGTACTTCAAATATGTCGCCTCAGCAGAGTCACAGCGCCAGTCCAGTGTTGTGGAAGCAGAGTCAGACGTGACTGGGGATCCTGGAAAGCGCAAGCGAGTGATCCGGTTTCTGAATCTGTCACACCTCTCGCGGTAGCCTCAGCTTCGTCTTCTTGGCCCCCTGCTGCTGCAGCCGCCGCTGCCAGAGCAACCCAGACCCCCAAGCTGCCCTCGAATGAGGGGGAAGAAGTTTCCGCGCACTACTTGCGAGATTTCCCGCCTGTGTATTGCACACAGGACAAAAGGCGGGCTGGTCAAAAGAAGCCTCAAATGCAATGCATATCCAAGATTTCTGCCGATCATGGCGCCGGTGAGGTCAACCAACTTCAACTCCATGAGGCGTGCCGCAAACAGGCGGGAGCGCACGCAGCTAAATGTGCTAAAGAACACGGCGCTGTGCAGCAATCCATTCTGCTGCGCAAGGCGTCACGTCAGGAAAGACAAGCCTCTGAAGAAGAAGAGAAGAAGGCAATGTGAAGCATCACAGCTACGCGCCTTTCAAAACGACGCTAGTGTCAGGTCAAGCGTGTAACGCACGACCTCATCAACGACATCAACGAGTTTACGGATCAGCCACGGCGCTGCTTCAACGAAGTCCAAACCTTACCTTGGAAATGCAAAGCAAGCGCTAGTGTCAGGTCAAGCGTGTAACGCACGACCTCATCAACGATATCAGCGAGTTTACGGATCAACCGTGGCGCTGCTGCAACGAAGTCCAAACCCTACCTTGGACATGTAAAGCAAGCCTTGTAGCAATCATGCGCAATGTACAAGATAGTTCTGTACTAGGACGGATCCAGATACTTTGTTGTTGAACAGCAGCAGTTAGAATCTGGTTTGGAAGTCAGGGGGTAGTAAAAGGCCATTGCAATCGATCCAAGGCTTCCATTTTCGTTCCCAAAGCGAACAACGTTTACCCTTAGAGGAGTTTCTAAGGCCACTTGGAGGTTTGCCAGGCCACCAAACTGGCGACAATGCTTACGTTTTGGCCTTAATTAAGATCTGTGAAAGCCCAAAATGGTCGAAACTCACTCGCATTCAGCGTTTTCGGGGGTTTTCAAAGCCGCTTCAGAGCCACCAAACTAGCAAAGATTCCTGTATTTCGGCCCTGGGTTCAAAGTTTGCGAAGGCCCATAGCGGCAAAAAATCGCGAAACATTGCCATTTGGGGGTTTCCAAGGACGCCAAACTCTGGCGAAAATGCTGATGCTTTGGCCTCAATTGAGGTTTGTGAAAGCACAAAAGAAAATCACTTATTCACCATTTCGGGGGTTTTCGAAGCCGCCAAACTAGCCAAAATCCCTATGTTTTGGCTTTAAGCCCCTTGGTTTATGAAGCCAACAGTGGTCCAAAAACACTCAAATTGACCATTTAGGGTTTTCAAGGCCAGCAGACTAACGAACATTCTTGTAGGTTTGTCCTAGGTTCAGACTTTGTGATGGCCCAAAAAGGTCACGAATCAAGAGGGTTTGTAAAGGGATGCTCAAAAATCACTAAAATTGGACACAAGCGGGCCATTTGGGCGATTGTTAAACTGCCAAAGTAGCAGGCGTGGGGTCCCTTTTGACCTTTGGCGAACAAGTCATTTTTTGTGTTTTAAAGGGTGTTTAAAAGGTTTTTAAATGGGTGTCTAGAAGGTTTTTAGAAGACGAATGAAAGGTTTTTGAGCGCTTTAAAAGGATTTTCAAGGGTTTAGAAAGGTTGTGAGAAGGGTTCCTAGAGGATTTTTCGATGGTTTTTGCGAAGGGTGAGGGATTTAGAGTGTTTTTACAATGCTTAAAACGGGTTTTTGAAGGGTTGCGACAGTTTTTTTGAGGTTTTTAGATGCGTTTGTAGAGGGACTTTAGAGGGCGTTTAAAGGGATTTGAGCCGGGTTGTGCAGGGTTGAGAGGGGTTTTCAGAGGGCTTCGAAAGGGTCTTTCGATCATTTTTAGAGGTGTTTAGAAGGGTCGTACAAGGTTTTTCGAAGTTTTTACAGCATTTGTTACAAGGTTCTTTAAATGAGGTTTTAAGAGGTTTTTCGGGAGTTTTTTCGATGGAATTTGATCGCATTTTAAATTTCTAGAAAGTGCGTTTAGCAGGTTGTTGAAAGGGTTTTTAGAGGGTTCTTTTGAGGGGTTTTAGAGGGTTTTTAAATGGCTACACTGCCCGCGTGGAATGTGCAGGAGGCCAAAAAGCACAGGAAACAAATTTGTTTCCAAAGGTGTATTGCACACAAATTTGGTTGCCTTCGGTTTCGGGAAGATTCTGAAGACCAAAATTCGAAAGCACAAAAATTTGGCCGTTTGGCGGGTTTCCCAGGCTCGGGGCTCAAATCGGGTTTGGAAATCTGGGACTGGGGGGCAGCAAACTTACATCGAGTTTTTGAAAGAAGATTGGAGCCCTGGATCCAGTCTGGGGGGGTCTTGGGGCGGGATAAACCCCCCCCGCCAGCTGGCGAACCCTGAGCCCTAAACCCTAAACCCTAAACCCTAAACCCTAAACCCTAAACCCTAAACCCTAAACCCTAAACCCTAAACCCTAAACCCTAAACCCTAAACCCTAAACCCTAAACCCTAAACCCTAAACTTCAAACCCTAAACTTCAAACCCTGTAAGGTGATAGCGTCCCCTTCTCCTCCGAAGTACTAACTCCTCTGGAGCTGGGCATCCGCGAAGGGAAGATGGACACCAAGGACCTCGCGGAGGCCATTTGCCTAGGGTTAGGTGTTAGGGTTTAGGGTCTAGGGTTTAGGGTTTAATGATTGATTAGGGTTTAGGGTTTAGGGTTTAGGGGTTTAAGGTTTAGGGGTTTAGGGTTGAGGGTTAGGGTTCAGGGTTTAGGGTTTACGGTGTGATTTCCCCTTTGCGGAACCTTAAATTGTAGGGTTAGCTCGTTTAGGGTTTAGGGTTTTTTTAGGGTTCCTAAACCTTAAACCCTAAACCCGAAACCCTAAACCCTAAACCCTAAACCCTAAACCCTAAACCCTAAACCACTCTGAACTCCCGGACTACCAGAGAGCATGGCTGAGGCGGCGCCGCCCAACGTGCGAAGTTTCCAGTCCTTCAGCCGCCGTGCGCCTGAGTGTATCTTGGTCCTCTTCTTTTGGGTATGTAGGGTTTAGGGCTCAGGGTTTAGGGTTTAGGGTTTAGGATTTAGGGTTTAGGGTTTGGGGTTTAGGATTTAGGGTTTAGGGCTAGGGTTTAGGATTTAGGGTTTAGGGCTAGGGTTTAGGATTTAGGGTTTAGGATATACTTGCAGGTGCAGGGCGGGGGGGCAACAGTGGACAGGGAACTGCTGCACCCAGTCGCCCTCTGGCCGGGGTCGGCATACAATAGACTACCCTAAGCCCTAAACCCTAAACCCGAAACCCTAAACCCTTAAAACCGTGTCTGTCACCTTCAGGTATACCCATGTTTCTCAACCGCCTCTCCAAGACTACCTTGTCGCGGATGGCAGACCAGTAACTGGGTTGAGATTCAAGAACCCAAGTTTTAGGGTTTAGGTTGCCATTTTCCAAGAGTTTCAAAAAGCACCAAGAAATCCTAAGCGCCAAACCCTACAACCACCCTTTAAGCCCTCATCCCAATGCTCCGAATCCTCTAACAAACCCATACAAGCCCCAAGCCCGAAGCCCTACGCCCGAAGCCCGAAACCCTAAACCCCTAAACCCCCAAAACCCGAAAACCCTTGAACCCTAACGCTCTAGGCCCATAAACCGTGAACCGTGAACCGTGAACCCTAAACCCTAAACCCTAAACCCTAAACCCTAAACCCTAAACCCTAAACCCTAAACCCTAAACCCTAAACTAAACCCTAAACCCTAAACCCTAAACCCTAAACCCTAAACCCTAAACCCTAAACCCTAAACCCTAAAAACCCTAAACCCTAAACCCTAAACCCTAAACCCTAAACCCTAAACCCTAAACCCTAAACCCTAAACCCTAAACCCTAAACCCTAAACCCTAAACCCTACACCCTAAACCCTAAACCCTAAACCCTAAACCCTAAGCCCTAAACCCTAGGCCCTAAACCCTAAACCCTGAGGTTGACGCACATGGATGTCGCCCGGTTGGTTCGCAGATCTCCTGAGTCGGCGGTGATGCTCGTAGACATGGCCACGGCCCCCTGGTGTTCTGAGCAGGGTGTAGGGTTTAGGGTTTAGGGTTTAGGGTTTAGGGTTTAGGGTTTAGGGTTTAGGGTTTAGGGTTCCTTGTATCCCCAGCGATATACAAAAAATATGTGTATGTATATATACAGACACACATACATACATATACGTCTTTGAAGGATTGGGTAGTATGCAGTAACTTAGGGGTTTTTGCAGGGGTTGGGGTTCAGAGTTTCGGGTTTTGGTTGGGTTTTTGCCTTGGGGTTTAGGAGTCCAGGGGGTGTAGGGTTTAGGCTCTTTTGTGTTATGCGGCTTGGGGTTCAGTAGTCTGGGTTTCAGGTTGTTGGGTTCAGGGAGTAGGATTTAGGGTAAAGGAGTCTGGTGCAGGGTTTAGGAGTGCAGGGTTGGGGCGGCTGAGTATTGGCTTTAGGAGTCTAGGGATGATGGTGAAGGAGTCTTGATTGAATTCGGCTTTGGGATTAAGGCTTCGGGGATTAGGCCAGTTTTTGAAACTCGGCTTGTTGCGAAAGGTGCTGGACCTTGAATTTGATTCCACATCGGTATTTCCCAAAATAGGGGCCCCTTTTATACCCCAAATATTTCCTTAATGGGACCCCCAAAAAGGAACCCCTATTGAAACCCCCAAATCTGAGGTAAAGGCTGTGGCAACGGACGCCGAGTGGCACCCACTGCCGCAGAGAGTGTCGTTTCAGCAGCGTTGGAACAGTGTCCAGAGCATCTCCCTCTATGAAACGGACAAGTACTGGGTTTTCGATGAGCACTTCCTTGAGCACCCCTCGTGGCACAGCAAGATCCCTCACAATGATGTGGGCATGGGCTCAGATGCCAACGTTCGGGTGTGCCATGTCCCAAACATCGTCTCGCCGAACGTCTTTGCGGCCCTGGTTGGTTTGGGGGACTCGGGCCTGTGCCTGTATGAATCCCGCACGCTGCGTGCCGCGGTGTCCTACACTTTCGAAAACGGTGCCAGGTGGTTTGAGCGGGTGCAGTGCCTGATTTCCGTCTGGGGCCTGAGCCTTCTAGTCTTCAGGACCTGCTTCAATCATGAGGGAGAAGTCGGGCAAGGGGCGACCTCGCTCTATCAACAGATGGACGAAGGCGTCTTTGACCCCACCAACAAATACGGAGTCGTCGCGGACTGGACGATTGCCAAGGGCGTCGTTGACTTGTGCCTGGAGGTGGCCGAGATATATGGGCGCATGCGCACTGGAGAGCTGAAAGGCCACTTGGGTGCCTCAGAGGTTCTTGCTCCCTTAAGCCCGAAACCCCAAACCACAAACCCCAAACCCTAAACCCCAAACCCAAAACCCCAAACCACAAACCCCAAACCCTAAACCCTAGACCCTAAACCCTAAACCCTAAACCAGAGGATCCCCCAAATGGCCTTGTAGAGTTGTTAAGGGAGAGGGGGTTCAAGGGGGGTCTGTATCCCAAGGTTCCCAAATACTCCCCACTTCTCACTGAGGCTCCCTAAGCTTCCCTAAGGTTCCCTGCATACCTACCCTTCAGAACCCCATAATAACCCTAAACCCTAAACCCTAAACCCTATACCCTATACCCTATACCCTATACCCTAAACCCTAAACCCGAATTTTCACAGCCCTGACGCTGACACTCTACGTAGAGCCCTGAAGTCTCAAACGCCATGGAAGCCATCCGGCTTAGGGGGTAGGGTTAGGGTTTAGGGTTTAGGGTTTGGGGTTTAGGGTTTAGGGTATATTGTTTAGGGTTTAGGGTTTAGAGTTTAGGGTTTAGGGTTCAAGGCTACCTCACCTTTGGCAACGCCTGGGATCTCATGCGCAGCATCATTCCCATCGCGCTGCTTGCTTTTCACTCCCATCGCTTGCTACACCTTCTGGTCGTCTTGACGCTCGTTGGGGTAAACCCTGAACCCTAAATCCGTGGCCCTAAAGCCCCATAAGTGTTCAGGGTTCAGGTTTTAGGATCCTAAGCCTTAATCCTAAACTTTGGGGTTCTAGGGCTTAAAGGATATAGGGATCAGAGCTTGATTGGCCACTACCGCTCTTGAAGGCTCAAAGGTAGTTAGCAGAGCCTACAAAAACCTAGCAGCTACTTGTTGTAGGTTGTGACTGCTAAGCCCTATGCTGTGACGACAACAAACCCTTTCTGCATAGGATTTTTGTCTGACCTACAAGAAAAGCAGGGTGTTTTGGGTACTTTCAGGCAGGGCTTGAAGAGGGGCTTACGGGTTCTTGGGGGCCCAAACCCTAAACCCTACACCCCGAAACCCTAAACCCTAAACCCTAAACCCTGAACCCTAAACCCTAAACCCTAAACCCTAAACCCTAAGGCCCTAAACCCTAAGGGGATCTGGCGGTTCAGGGTTCTAAGGAGGTAGATATGACCTTACGTGTAGCTACCCAACAAGAGCCTGTGAGCAGGCCCGACAGGCGCCCTAAACCCTAAACCCTAAACCCTAAACCCGAAACCCTAAACCCTAAACCCTGAACCCTGAACCCTAAACCCTAAACCTTAAATACTAAATTCCAAACCTCAATCCCTGGACCCTAGACCCTTGGGTCTCAACCCCTCAAGCCTTGCAAGGATCTACTGGATGCGAATCTTGGAGAGCGTCATCTTGAGCGAGTGGATCGGCTGCGCTCTCCTGCCTTTGCAGAAGCTGCTGACACCTTCCCTGCAGATGTCAGGGTTTGTAGTGTTCAGTGGGTTTGAAACCCGAAACCCTAAACCCTAAACCCTCAACCCTCAACCCTAAACCCTAAACCCGAAACCCTAAACCCTAAGTTGTTAAGGTTTCAGGGTTGAAGAGGCTTTGGGCTGAGGGCTCAGGGTTTTGAACTCTGAGCCGCTGAGCTTTAAGGGTTTGGGTGTTAGGGTTTAGGGTTTAGGGTTTAGGGTTTAGGGTTTAGGGTTTAGGGTTGAGGCATAGGGCTTTGGGAACGCTCATGCCCTCAGATTCGAAACCCGAAAGCCCGAAGAACAAATCCCTTTTCATCCCTAAATCCTAAACCCTAAACCTTAAACCCCAAACCCTAAACCCCAAACCCTAAGCCCTAAACCCTAAACCCTAAACCCTAAACCCTAAACCCCTGACCCTAAACCCTAAACCCTAAACCCTAAACCCTAAACCCCAGGATCGGGCTCATGCCAGCCCTTGCCTTCACGGTCTTCTGCTTCGGCGCGCTCACGCACGCCATGTACACGGTGCAGGTAGGGGTTGAAAGGGTCAAAGGGTTTAGGGTTTAGGGTTTAGGGTTCAGGGTTTAGGGTTTATGGTTTAGGGTTTAGAGGGTTTTAGGGTTTAGGGGTTTAGGTTTTAGAGGGTCTTAGTTTTTGCAGGGTTTCGGGTTGAGGGGTTAGGGTTGAGGGTTTCGGGTGCAGGTGACCGCGGATCATCTCTGGCCGACCACCGTCTTCCACACCTTCGCGACGCTGATCACGCAGGACCCGAGCCTACCCGAACCTTCATTCGCACTCCTTAAGCCCGGAGCCTTTGAACCCCAAGACCCTTAATCAAACCGCCAAACCCCGAGCGTGTTTTGTTTTTTCGGGGGGGGGGGGGATTTTGTGCTTTGGGGGGGGGGGGGATTTTATGCTTCAGGGGTTCAAAAACAGGTAGCGGTTTTAGGGTTGAGAGTTGCGGGTGTAGGTGTCCTAAACCCTGAACCCTAAACCCTGAACGACGAACCCTGAGCCTTCCCTGCAGAGTTTGGAGTGCTGTTTGGGGTTGGGGGGCGTTTCAGGGTTTAGGGGTTCGGGGGTTTCCCTAAACCCCAAACCGCAAACCCCAAACCCCAAACCCCAAAACCCCAAACCCCAAACCCCAAACCCCAAACCCCAAAACCCCAAACCCCAAACCCCAAAACCCCAAACCCCCAACCGCAAACCCCAAACCCCAAACCCCAAACCCCAAACCCCAAACCCCAAACCCCAACCCCCAACCCCCAACCCCCAAACCCCAAACCCCAAACCCTAAACCCCAACCCCCAAACCCTAAACCCTGGTTTGGGGTGATCTTGGGGGGGATGAGCGTGTGCCAGGTAGTGTTTTTGCTATTAGAAGCTTGGGTGGTTTGAACCCGAAACCCAATCGACCTGACCAGCTCCAAACCCTGCAAGCCCACAAGGGTGTAGAGTGTCGGGGTTAGGGTTTCTAGGGTCTAAACATCCCATGAGACCCTAAGAACCCTCTGAACCGATGAGCCGCTAAACCCTAGACCCTGAACCCTGAACCTTGAACCCTAAACCCTAAACCTAAACCCTAAACCACATACCCTAAACCCTAAACCCTAAACAGGGCCTGCCTGCAGACGAGCCCAACGATGGCCTGGAGCTCCTCGTGCTCTACGGGGGCGTCCTCTTCTTCTCCATCTTTGTCCTCAACATCTTCATCGGTGTCATTGACGAGGAGCTGTGGGAGCTGTTGGTTTAGGGTTTAGGGTTTAGGGTTTTAGGGTTTGGGTTTAGGGTTCCCTACTACCCCCTCTATACTACCCCTCCCCCCCCGAGTTCCCCCCCTTAATAACCTTAACTAGGCTTAGTTATCCCTAGACGGCCGTAATTTATGGGGAGAACCTAGGGGGGTGGGGGGGGGGGGGGGGGTAGTAAAGAGGGTTAGGGCCTAGGGTTTTCAAACCCCAAGTTCGCAGCCCAAAGAACCCTCTTGGGTTTGAGAGGCTCCTACTGGGAGGGGGACTGAATCAGAAGATCGCAAGTAGACTTAGAAGTACCCTAACAGGGGAGCCTCATTGGAGTTCTCCTAGTTACAACTCTATTGGATAACTGCTTACGAAGTCCTCCGACCCTTCAAGTACTGAGGAACCCTGAACCCTGCACCTTCTAAGCCCTAAATCCCTAACGTTTCAACAGCAAACACGGGGTTAAGGGTTTAGGGTTTAGGGTTCAGGGTTTAGGGTTTAGGGTTTAGGGTTCGGGGTTTAGGGGTTTTGGGGCTTAGAAGTTTTTGGGGCTTGGGATAGTTCAGGGTGGGTTCAGGCGCACGGAACGCCGGAACGCAAGAACATTGAGCCGCGGTTCGGGCGCTTGACCCGAAACCCTACAGCCAAAACCCTCAGCCCGAGAATCCGAAGCCCGAAACGCCAAAACCCTGAACCCTAAATCCCAAACAACCCCTAAAAGTCACGCATAACTCAGGAGTACAAGAACGAGAAGGAGCAGTCTCATCTGAAGTTTGTTGGCCTCAGGGCCTCCTCGTGCCTCACCTACCTGCTACGTGTGCGCGTGATTCCCTGCCTGCTGAGCAGCAGCTGGGTCGCTGTTAAGGAAACTCTCCCCCTAAACCCTAAACCCTAAACCCTAAACCCTAAACCCTAAACCCTAAACCCTAAACCCTAAGCCCTAAACCCTAAACCCTAAACCCTAAACCCCTGAACCCTGAACCCTGAACCCTAAACCCTAGACTCAGGACCTTAGAGGGTTTTGTTTTTAGGGCTGCGGGCGTAGGGTTCCACAATAAGGAGACCCTACTATCAGCGACTCTATCTCCGTAATGTTGGGCCCTGTTTCGTCGGGGACCCTCTATGAAGACAGACTTTTGCTTGACCATTTCAGGGGTCAAATGCCCGGGCATCGTAGGACCTGGTTTCCGTGGCACGCCTTGAAGAAATCAACGGGGCCCTTTGCCCGTTTGCAAAATTATGCCCAACTGTTTGAGAATGTGGTGGGGGGGTGGGGGGGGGGGGGGGGGGTGTCTATGTGATGGCAACTGAGTCTTAGTTTACTCCCCTAAACCGTAAACCCTAGGCCCTAGACCCGAAACTAAACCCTAAACCCTCAACCCTCAGCCCTAAACCCTACACCTTAAACCCGAAACCCGAAACCCTAACCCTAAACCCTAAACCCTAAACCCTAAACCCTAAACCCTAAACCCTAAACGCTAAACCCTAAACCCTAAACCCTAAACCCTAAACCCTAAACCCTAAACCCTAAACCCTAAACCCTAAACCCTAAACCCTAAACCCTAAACCCTAAACCCCAGGCAAGGCAGCTTGTGGAGCGGCGTGCGTGGCCTTGCTCGTGTCTGCCGGACTCCAAACTGCGGCGATTTGCGGCGCCCGCCTCCCGGGGCATCTCCAGCTGCTCGCCTTCCAGGCCTGGGGTTTAGGGTTTAGGGTTTAGGGTTTGGGGTTTAGGGTTTCGGGTTTAGGGTCTAGGGTTTAGGGTTTAGGGTTTACGGTTTCGGGTTTCGGGTTTCGGGTTGCTCCAACGCCTGGTCGTTTGTCGGGCTTAGGATTCGGGCTACACCCTGAACCCTGAACCCTGAACAATGAACCCTAAACCCTGGACCCTAAACCCTAAACCCTAAACCCTAAACCCTAAACCCTAAACCCTAAACCCTAAACCCTAAACCCTAAACCCTAAACCCTAAACCCTAAACCCTAAACCCTAAACCCTTTGCCTTCCAGGTGTGCCAGCTGATCATCTTCCTCGCGCCTTTCCAACGTGATGATGGGCCCTGGACAGACCGTTTCGCTCCTTCGGGCGAGGCGGGTGCTGTTCCAAATGGGGGTTTAGGAGTTTAGGAGTTTATCAGGGGCAAACTGATCAGGACGGCGTATGGGGGCGGATGGCCCTTCGGCAAAGGCCGTCGAACCCCCCTAGCCTTCGTCGAAACCCCCTCCCGGCTCTTGTGGCCTTCGTCGAACCTCCGGCCTTCATTTAGCCTTCGTCGAACCCTCCCGATTTTTTTCGGGCTTCGTCTTGGCCTTTTGTATCGGCCTTCGTCGAACCCCCTCCCCCTTCGTCGAACCTCCCGGCCTTCGTCGAACCTTCGCCCGGCCCCCCGGCCTTCGTCGAACTTCGTCTCGGCCCGTTGGTATCCCGAGTCTTCGTCGAAGTTCCCCGGCCATCCTGCTCTTCGGCCATCCTGGTGTGTTTCCCCTTAGTTTAGGGTTTAGGGGTTTACGAATTTAGGGGTACCTTATTCGTGTCCTTATTAGAAGAGAATCTTACTATTTGGGGTTCTATATTCAGGGGGGCCCTTATTATCGCAAACCCCCAAATCCCCTAAGAAAAGACCCTAAGCCAATAAAACACGCAAACAGCCCTGAACCCTAAACCCTATAAGGCTGGTTCTTTTCAAGTCAGGCTTCCAGTCTCGAATAAATAGTTAAAGAGCGCAGAAAGCAAAAAGCAACTCTGCTTTTCAACCCACCCCCCCCATCCCCAGGTTTTCAGGGGCTCTGGCTACCTGGCAGTGAATGCAGAAGAAGAACCCGTACGAAGGCGCTTGGGTCTCTAGAGTGGGCTTTTGTTGGCGACTTTGCAGTTTCGGGGTTAGGTTTGAGGAGGTTCAGGGGGGTTTGAGGAGGTTCAGGGGGTTTCAGGGTTCAGGGGGTTTCAGGGTTTAGGGGATTCAGGGGTTTTAGGGTTGAGGGTTTAGGGTTTCGCAGGGTTTGTGTTTTTTGAGGGGCTGTTTCGGCTCAGGGGCTTTACGGGGCCCAGGGCCCTTGTCGACGCCGACATTACAAGAGCCCTGCAAAGCCCCCCTAAGGCCCCTAAGGACTCAAACGCCACCCAAAGATCTAAGAATAGTTCAGCAGCCCCCAAAGCCATACCCTCTAAAGGAGAATATAAGGAAGGATGTTACCATACCCCTTAGTTTTCAAGGGTATGCCCGAGGGGTATGGTATGATTGATGAGTATTTCCTTGGAAAAAAGAGATCTGAACCGAACCACTTAAACCCTCAACTCTAAACCCCGGACCACACCCCCCCCTCCCTAACACCCCAACGAAATAAACCCTAGCACGCCAACACCCACCCCACTCTAACACCTTAACACCCAAACGCCCTAACACCCCAACACCCCAACGCCCCCTAACACCCTAAACCCTAAACCCTAAACCCTAAACCCTCGAGACCCTCGAGACCCTCGAGACCCTAAACAAACCCTAGCACGCCCAAGCACAGGTACATCTGGATTATCGAGCCCCGCCAGCGCTCCCGCGCCCCGAGCCATCCGGCGCCCGGCTACTCCAGGTGGGTAGCTTAGACCCTAAACCCTAAACCCTAAACCCTAAACCCTAAACCCTGAACCCTGAACCCTGAACCCTGAACCCTGAACCCTGAACCCTGAACCCTGAACCCTGAACCCTGAACCCTGAACCCTGAACCCTGAAACCTGAACCCTAAACCCTAAACCCTAAGCCCGAAACCCGAAACCCTAAACCCAAGGTCTTCATCTGTGGCATCCTCAGGCTTCGCAGGCGATGGCCCAGAAAACCCAGAGCTGTTTGGGTGCAGGGGGTTTAGGGTTTAGGGTTTAGGGTTTAGGATTTAGGGGGTTATCTTGGTCGCCCAGTGGTACCCTTTTGCCCCCCCCCCCCCCGTTTGGGGTTAGGGTTTAGGGTTTAAGGTTTAGGGTTTAGGGTTTTAGGGTTTTAGGGTTTTGGGGTTTTAGGGTTTTAGGGTTTCAGGGTTTTAGGGTTTAGGGTGTCGGGTTTCGGGTTTAGGGTCCCTTCTACATTAGCCAACCCTAGAAGGGTACCCTTATTGTTCTGGTTTTAATGTTGAAGTTTCAGGCTTTTGGGGCTTTTGGGTGTTGGGGTGTTAGGGTTTTGGGGGGTTAAGGTTGTTTGGGGTGTTGGGGTTGTAGGGGTTGAGGTTTAAGGCTTCTAGGGGTTGAGGGTTTTAGGTGCTGAGTGTTTAGCCTTTTCGGGGTTCGGGTTGAAGGTTCAGGGTTTAGGTGTTTAAGGGCTTGGGGGGTTGTAGGGGTTTGCCAGCGGAGGGTTTAGTTTCACTATCCTTATAGAGTTCTGAAGGGAAGGGGTTAAGGGGAGGGGGGGTATGTAACCCAAGGTTTCCTAAGACTCCCCACTACTCCCTAAGCCCCCCGAAGCTTCCTTAGGGCCCCCCCCCCCCCCCCCCCCCATTGAACCCCTTTAAGAACCCTATAACGAGTTTAGCCCTAAACCCCCGAAACCCTAAACCCTAAACCTTAGACCCTAAACCCTAAACCTAAACCCTTAAGAACCCTAAAATATCCCCCATAAATGAAGTCGGGGAGCCAATAAGCCGTTGACAGCCCTC